GAGTTTTCCAACGCCTTCTGTTCTAAGATTGTTGTAGTTTTCGAAAACCATTTCCAATCAAACCCTTTTATATATTCTTGCACTAGACACTTTGCTCTTTCTAACAAAAAAAAATCAAGTCTTCATGACATTGCTTTGCAGAGTTATATCAAAAACAAAATTAATGCAAAACTTTTGCCCCACCAGTTAGATTTTAAGTAGTTGCCCTGTACTTACCACTACTTTGTATATTTTCTTTTTCTTTATATCATTTTTGTTATCAAGTACTTTTTCATTAACAGTATCCACTATATGTTAAGATAATGATGATAAAACTCCATTAATTCATATTCTATTTTTAAATATTTGTTTTCTGTGATGAACATTTTTATTAAAATGATAAATCTAGATGTTTCTATATTCTCTTGTCTTTATAATATTAGTCATTATTGAAAACTTTAGTTGTTGTATTTGAAAATAATACAAAATAAATTAGCTATAAGATAACTAAAATATACTATTGTGATCGAAAGTCACTATGAGAATTCTTACTGTTCTGTTCTAACGGCCCACCAGGTCAGAAAAAGTTCCAGCTGTTTTTACACAACACATTTTAGTGCCGATCGCAGATTTGCTCAATACGAAAAAAACATGACATGATAGAATTTATTTTCGACACATACAATTCAAATAGACAGTGATGTACCCAGAGAGGGACCGATTCTCCTAGAACGATAGGAATATCCGGAGGAAGGTACAGGTAAAATCATTTTTGCGTATCTAAAACTGGTTTCTCTCCAAAGCGATCCCTCCTTCTCCTGGAAAAAATTCCTGAGCACACCACTGAACGTAGATTCTTAATAGAAGGTCAATTAAAAATAAAATATAATTTATTACAATGGTGTTTTGGACGTGATATATTCAAACGATTACTTGATATATGAGAACATCAATTCGATATTGATATATATATATGTACGGACAAAGACCATATGTCAACAACGTCTCGTTATCATATATAGACTATGTCTTTATTGCATTTATGAAAGATTAAGTAAAAGGATGGTAAAGAAATGTGTTTCAACATATATAGAATCAAGTAATCTTCTGTGATTAGTAATAACAGCTACGTCGTATTTCATATTTTAATCTTCCAGAAATCGTGCTAACATTTTTGTTTTCAAATCGACAACATTCTATATGATAAAGTACATTTCATTAGAATCATATTATATTGTAATTTCCTTTCTATTGTAAATTTTTCTATGAACAATATATTACGTGTTTTATTTTATTTATCTTTGTTTTTTAAAGTAAGACTAAATTAATATCTGTAAGCTCGATTGAGTGTAATATCTTGAAGAATGCAGAACGAAATGAGGAGTTATTTTGATCTTAGTATCTAAAAACTTTGAATCTATGACAATTTTTGTTCTACTAATCAAGATCTATCTATCAAGAAAAGTTTCGAAATTTTCTGATGAATCATTCTCAAGAAATCTCAGAAAAGAGAATACTATTATAATATCGAATTTTGTAAAGCAAATGAATCAAGGATTGAATGAAATATATCTGCGCATGGATGGTTCACAATACAAGTATATATAAACATTACTTTTTTGATATATCGTTTGTATATTAAATGCACAAGGGAAGAAAGTAAGAGAGTGTTTTATTGCTTGTTTGCATAGAATGAATAAGAAAGAAAAAAAATTAAAGTGCAACAGTGCAAAAGAAAATGAAGAAAGAAAAGAAAAAAACGTGATTTCGACTACAGTTGGATAAAAAATGAGAAATTATGCGTTGTCATCCATACAAAAAAAAAGTTAGATAGAGATACTATGAAATAAAGATTTAATGTAAAGAAATCTTAGTTTATCAAAAATATTTTAGAAAATTTTATCATGATTTTACCTTATGCTCTACTTATAAATAATATCGGTTTATTTATTCTTGAAATTGTTGGTTATCATGTCTGTCATAGTGGTAAATATATTTTATTGTTAATTAAGAAAATAATTCTAATTTTCTAAATAGTGGTCATGCTTCTTGATGGTTATTATCATCTTTGTCAAGCTATTTTATGCACAGTACGAATAGTTTCACCATTAGTAAGTTAAAAATAAAATATATATCAATATAATATTTTATAATTCATAATAGATTCAATATACATATACATCTCGACATACATATGGTTTAGCTCGAGGTAAAATTGCATTAGTTATACAAAAATATTAATGTAGTTTAACAAAAATGTATTTTGTTTCTATAATATTAAACATCTAGCTCAAATTCAGATTTTTAAGGGAAGACCGTAGAGAGTGTGGCAGTTTTTTTAGAACTCTTGCTATAGAATACATTAAAAAGAAAATTCCATTGGCTATTAAAATTACTATCTAAATTTGAGATAGAAAAAAAAAAATCGAAATACATTGTTATTAAACTGTTTTCTACGACTTTATATATACACACATATTATTTTCTTAATTTATAATCAGTTGGTGTTGTCGGTGAATTAGTTGCATTTGTTAGTTTTCTTTCATTATCAATTTCGGTTTTTCTTGAAAGTATTAAACATATCGTTGACGTCATTTTTGTTATACCAAAACGAGAAAGTAATAGTTCAGCATTATTTACTGCTCATGGTCATGGTAAGTTGCTATAAGAGAAATAAATAAATAAATAAATAAATAAATAAATAAATAAAATTATTTAGAACATATGCATAGTCTTATTGATCATCCTCATTTTATTCTTTTTGTTGGTATTTATGCTACTATTTCAAATATTTTATTAGGCATTGGGATACTTTGTGAGTATGAATAAAATTATAATAATATAGATTATAACTAATTATATAGATATTGTTAAAAAACGTTCAATGAAAATGCATCAATATTTAAAGGAAAGAAGACCAAGTTTAAAACAACCGTTACCAAAGAAATTATTATCAAAATCATGTATGTATAATAATAATCCAATTTGAAACTAATAAAAAAAAAATGTCTTCAAAAGTCTGATTTCAAACATTCCTTAATCATTTGAAAATGTTGTTTTATTAAGCAAAAAACATCTCCCAATCAGTTAAAATCTATAGATTTTGTAGTTTTAATATTCTAAATCAAACATGCAAATCATTTCAAAAAAATGTAAACATTTGTTCGACTTTTTTAGTTAATTTATTGTGTTTTATTTCATGTTCAGTAAAAAACAAATCATTGAAATACATATCAAAATTATATTTTTAAAAATTTCTTTATATTGATTGATATTTAATATAAAGATAAAATTAATGTGAAAGTTCTTTTCTTGTAGTTTTGATATTGTTTCAAAGACTTTTATGCTGTATGATTGAGTTTAGAATGATGGAAAAAAATTCAAAAGATAATATTCTGTAGATTCTATTTAATAATTATATATCCTATAGGATAATATTCTTTTTTTTTTTAAAAAATATTTATTCTAGTACTTATTACTGATACTTTATCAGCTCATCATTCATATTTTCAAGTTTTAAATATGTTACTTGGTCCAATAGCTATATTAACATGTGGTATTTTATTAGTATTCTTATCTGAAAAACATGATATTCGTGTCGTTTTTACTCGTCTTGTTGATCCAATTATTGGTAGTTTTCTTTTTCTTTCATATTTACTTATGATATCTATTCCAAGTATAAGAATAATTAAAATTTTTTTTTTTTTGATTAAATATTTTATATTTATGTTTTTTTAGTGCGTCATATAATGCATCTTGTTTTACAAGCTAATCCATGTAGTCTTAAATCAGATGAAATTGAAAATTTACTTCGTGATTCTGTTTGTAATCATTTTATATTTATTTGAATTAGACAGAAAAAAAAAAAACAAAAAGAAAAAAAAAATTCAATCATTGAAATTTGTTTTGTATTTAGATTTCAGGTATTTCAAGTATTCATGAACTTCATATTTGGCGTTTAACACCACAAAAAACTTTAGCAACAATTCATATTGTATTTAATACAACAGAAGATATTTTAATAAAATATCAAGATATTAATTTTATATTTCAAACACTTCATATTGATCATGTTACAATACAACCTGAATTTTCATTGGTTTAATTATTTACTTAATTTAAATTAAATATTTTACTATTGATTTTCTTCTTTTATATATTTAGCCTACAGATAAAATTGAAAAACTTGGTTGTCATTATCAATGTTCAACAAATAATACTGAATGTGGTCCATTACAATGTTGTGAAAATGGATCAATTAATAAAACACCATGAATACAAATACATACAATTAATTGGATTTCTTGTTTTGTTTTGTTTTTTTCAAGAAGTAGACAATTCAATTGTGATCTTTTCTCTTTTAGTTTTGTCGACTGTTTAGTTTTCAGGAATTAAAAAGATAAATAAACACGTCTATTTTCTTTTTGTTGTGCTTCTTTGAGCTGCTTTGTTTTTTTTTTTCCTTCTTTTCTGTGATATAATAAATCATAACCAAAGAAGTGGACTATAAATAACTATACACCAAACAAATAATATTTTGATATATTATTTACAATTCTTATTTAACGAGAGATGTTCTTCAATTGATAAATTACTTTCGAATCGAGATTATGTAGATCCAAATGAGATATGAATATTCTGAAAAGAGTTCGTGTTCTTAGCTTATTGATATGGAAATATTACATTTTTAGAGTATTTTTTAAATAAATGCAGTATTCCAGACAAGCTGATTTTAGAATCTTGACTTGAAGATTTTGCATATATATAAGTCTCAACGAGAATATTTTATTGTAAAAGTTGTCAGGTCTTTTGATTTGCTTCTATTCTGAAATAAGAATATCAAATTTGCTGGTTTATATGACTGATGCAAGAGATTCGCTATTATCATAGTTGTATTTTAGGATAGGAATAGTGACAAGACTTGAAACATTCACAAAAATCTATTGTCGTTAAGACTTGTTGGAATTCAAAAATCAATTTTTCTGGATCATAGCATTCATTTAAAAAATACCATAAAAATGCAGTATCTCCGTAGCAATAAGCTAAAGACACGAATTCTTTTCAGGATATTCATATCTTATTTCAATCTACATGATGCACATAGTCTCGATTCTAAAAGCAATTGAACAGTTGAAGAACTTCCTTCATAAGGCAATAAAATCAAAATAATCAGGGATCCAATTAACGATCCAGGGTGATCACTCTGACCGTCGAAATCGATGTATTACTGCACTAATTTTCAATGTATTCCGTTATAATCCCTCAACCTCTTTTTTTTTTACTAACAAGCAATCGTCTTTTCTTCTACTATTTTCACCTTTTTACGAGCTTACGAAAAATGATGAGGTAAAAACAGTAGCTTTCACTATTTTATAACATTTACGACGTCATTCTTTTCAACACAGTGTCTTAAACAGTTGAATTCAAGTAAAAATTCATTGCTTATGTATTGAATTGATTAATATTGTATTCAACTGATATAAATGTAATGAAACTAGAAAGAATCAGTATTTATCTTCAACAAGTATGAACCAATTTCGGCAATATTCTTAGAATTGAATTCCTATATTTCGAAACATTACAACTTTATTTTCAATGTTATGTAGAATGGAACAGTGCAAACTGAAATGTTTGGATTTCAAGAATATCTAAGATTTTACTTGTGACTTTCTGATACTTATTCATTACATAAAAACGATTACTCTCCATTAATATCATAATATCATTATCCTTGTTTATCGAATACACATCTGATATAGACAATGAACTGACAAATAATTCGAAGGTCGTTCTTTATCCTTGATTATTTTCTCTTGTTAATTGTACTTGATGACTATATAGACCTAAACCTTGAAAATACATCAACGTTTGTCAAATACAAAAGCTTTTTATTAAATTAAAAAATATTTTTGTTTGATATATCAAAAAAAAAAGAAATCAATCTCAAGGTTAAAATATATATTTTTTTTATGCAAGTGTATTTAAATAATAAGATATGTTTAGTTTTCATTGACATTTAACAAATATTAACCATATAATCATTAAACTTATAATAGTTGTTAATACTAATTTATAATATAGAATTAAATATCTTATTAATGAAAAATTCCATGGATAAATATTTTCATATGTTTGATGAAATTTTTCACTTAATTTATTAACATCACCTGTTATTTCTAAAGCAATATTTTGTGCTTGGCCTTGAAAAATAATTTCTTCATAATAACCATGTTGAATAAATATATCATTATTATCTTTATTTAATGTCATATTATAAATTAATTTTGATAATTGAACATTAAAATGAATATTTTTTGTAAGAAATTCTTTTACATATTTTTCCATTCGATCATAACGTGGTCCATATAATATAGCACTATATATATTTTCTAATTCATTATAATAAGTACTTATATGAAGTTTATATTGAAATAAAACATCATAAACATTAAATGAAATTTGATTTGTATGAATATTAATAGATAAATCATGAATAATCGATTGTAAATAAGTATTAAAGCGATAAAATTCATTATTATATTCAAAAACAATAAGAAATCCAGCAAATTCAATATTAAAATACCATGGAATAAGTGCTAATGAAAAAAATAAACTAGCTGATGATGATGTTGATGAAAGATTTTCCCATTGATTAGCTTGACCCCATATCCATATTGATGGAAATGAATGTCCCCAATCTTTTTCTATATAACCAATACCTGATATAAATTGTTTTTCATTTTGATTTATTTTTATTGAACCATGAATATAATTTTTTCATACTAAGAACATGATGATAACATTGCATTGTTGGTATCCATGAATAAGGACCCATTGTTCCTGGTATTATCCATAATAAATCAGGTATAAATATATGTGATGATAATGTTAAATTCATTTGAAAACTTTCTGTTGCATCATCATTATTAGTTTTTGGTTGAACATCAATAATAATTTTATCATATGAAAAGATATTTTTTTTGTTATCAATTGTTAATTGAAATTCATCAAATGATGATGATAATGTTTCATATGGAAAATGAAAATAATGTGAAATATTATCATAAGCAATCATTATAAATGAATGTCGTTTACTATCATTCATATGTACACCAGGAATAATAACAAATGTATTATTATATTCATTTGAAACTATTTTATAATACCATCCTTCAAAAAATATTCCATTTCGAATATGATGACCTAAAAAAAAAACAAAAAATTAAAAACAATGTGTTTTTTTAATGATGACAAAAATTAATTTTGTTTTTGTTTTACCATGATAACGATCCGGATGAAAGGTAAGTTGTATAGATTTATAGTTAAAAAATAGATAGATGAATACAAAAAATGTGCACACAATGATTGCAAGTCGCCATGCAAACATGTGAGATTTAAGATGAAAAATAGACAGAAGAGAAAAGAAAAAACAAAGAATAACTACAGGTAAATGTATACTGAAGAATATATTCTTTTTCGAATATTATAGTTGATGGTGTTCTTCATGATAATATCTTTTTCTTCTCAGTTAAAAGTATATGTTATTCAATGATTAAATTATATAGAATATAGTTTTCAAAACCAATGGTTTGTTTTTTTTTTTACAAGTCGATGTTTTATTATACAAGATTTAGGGTTGAGCACAACTTCTCATACCCATACCCAACAAATATATGTAAAAAAAAAATATTAACTGACGATCATAAAGATTATTATTAACTCAGTATAATTTAATACCTTATTTTATCCAATAATAATAATATATACATAAGAAAATATGTAATCTCCACTTTTTAGACACTTCAGAACTTCAATAGCATGTGTAGTCCTAGATTTTGATGTTTCCCATTTCTGAAACATTTCGTATACGTTTCTATTCTGAAAATTGTATTACTTCAATATGTTTTTTTTCTGACTAAAATCAACTTTATGCTTTTGAATAAAATTCAATTTCATTGTAAATATTTCTTGTAGCTATGTGTTGTGAACATTATCTATTTGTCAATAGTGATTCAATAAAGTATTGGGGTTGTAGTGATGAAAATGATAATATGCATGCTCATATTGTTAGTAATAATTTAAAAGTTGAACGTCCACCAGTATCTATTGCACGTTATAAAATATTAAAATATACTCATCAAAAATAAAGTCCTGTCGCATGAAAGTCTTACTTACAGTACACAGTCGTATTGATTCAGACGATCTTAATAATGCTAAATATAATTTACTAAATACGTATCAATGGACTATTATATATCTCGATCAAGTCACAAACACCGGCATTGATTATTTTTTAAAATAATAACTTGATTAATGAATCATTGCTTATAATCGTTGACGTATATCTGTTCAAAAACCGAATACTAAACTAGTAGGAACATTGGCATACGAATCTTATTGATTTAAATTTCGACAATACTCTGGCTGATGCTAGATTAGCCAAAGTTTGTTTTCATCTTGCGCACTACTTTTCTTTTCTATTATTGCATTCAAAAGAAGAATTGTATTTCTCGGTTGCTAGTGTCTGCAATGAGGGGAAGGGTGAGAAAGCGGGGTGTCTGTAATGGAGCAGAGCCGCAAAACTTCGACTTGAAACTTACACTCATTACTTCCTTCGAAAATATATGTGAGTTTCACAAAACCTCATATATATTTGATGTTACTGAGATTATCGAGTCTGTAATTATGCTAACACATCTGAATACGTTGCACTTCCAATGACTGCCAGACCACATACTCATTGTATTTCATACAATCCTATGTTCACTCTAGCGAAAAGTGATGGTTTTCCGGAAAAGCTTTTCCCTAATGACAAAATTCCAGCTGGATGTTTCTAGGAATCGATTATACATTTGGATTCTCCGACTCCAATTTACTTTCGTCAACCTTTAAAGAATATTAATATTTTCTAAACAATTCTTTCCCGGATCGAAAAAAATCGCATACCAAATTTTGAGAAACTGATTGCAGATTCAAATTCTCTGACCCAGATTAGCTTCGGTTAAGCCATATAGAAACTCGTTACTTTCTCAAAAAACCTTTTCCTCAATAAAAAGAAATCAAACTAAAAACTTTGAGAAACCGATTGCAGATTCAGATTCTCCCGAACGCGTTTACCTTTGATCAAACTTTATCGGAAGTTCCCATCTTCTTAATATCTGTGCATGTGACTCAATACATGCTTGCAAACATACAAGCAAGCATGCAAACTCATTTTATTTTGTGTGATCCTACTTCCTTCAGTCGACGGTCAAAATCGCTATTTTCTTAAAAAACTCTTTCTTCAGTAAAAAACAATCAACTTCAAAATTTTCAGAACCTGATTTGAGATTCGGATTCCTCGATCCCAAAAAGTTTCGGTTAAACTTTATAAAAAATCGTTATTTTCTTCTGATAACCTTGCCTTGACGAGAGAATCAAA